GTCTGACGGAGCCTTTGGCGTCTTTGAACGCGGTTTGAGCTGGCGAATGTGTTAAAACTGGCAGCCCGCCATAAGTAACCATATTGCTGAACGGCGAGGTTAAAAAAGGCCCCGGTCATTAGTCTGTTTACGGGCTATCGCTTCAAGGTCCTGGATGCGTGTTGGGGACGTAGAACGAAAGTATGGACATATGGATAATTGTCTATAGCGGTATTTTGCTTATAACAGTTAGTTATATGTTTCGTTTTCTTAAAAAGGTTAAATGGAAGTGATGTAAATGTTTTAAATAGGCAAGTTAGAACTTTGTGATGGTTCTTTCGTCAGTCCAATATCCATGCCGCCTCGACGTGCACATTGGCCACTGCCGCAGCCTTGACGTACTTCAGCCAGCAGTAGTTCGATTATGCACCCTGCTTGTCTCCTGTCTTCCAAGTGACACTAACGCAGCGCAAAGGTCCGGGCAATCCTCTATCGTCGTAAGCGGTATCTGCTTCAAGTCGTCGCCTGGATAATTTGTTCCACACTCCTGCTCGAACTTGATGTTTGAGTCACGCGCCATGTATGTGTTGTTCTTATCATTGAGATAAGGGCAGTTGGTTGTGACCCCTCCATGAACCGACAAAGCCCTGACTGGTAGTGGAATCGATGTAATGGTGGATGTTGCAAGTGAGGTTGAAGATATAGCGCTTAGGGATGTTAGAACCAGATATAAAGACGATAACGATGCTTTCAACCTAGTATATATCAATCAGTCTTGCATGATGATCTAGATAGAAATAGTTTAGCATACTTACGCTTTGCAATCATGTCTTGTTTGTTTGAGCGCCTTGGTTGGCATTCCGGCAACTACTGCCGCTGCAATTGCGCCCAACAAGAAGGCTGCAGCCTGCAGCTGCGTGCCCGACCCAGAATGTCACTTACCTGATGCCACAAACTCGTAATCCGCCTTCAGAGGTGACGTGATCTTGGAGAGGATGCTGGTTGCATGAGGCAAGCTCATGGGCATTGACTTGGCCCTGGTGATGTTGCTGCCCGGAGTGATTCTCCTCCTTGATAGGATGTGCTATTTCAAGGTCGCCGTACTCTGTTGGCATGGTACCGGTTGTGTGTATACCTTGACGAGAGTCGCTCGTGAGGTACACAGGCTCTAGCCAAGGTGTTCAAAGTCGGCCTTCCGGAGCCATTGTTGAGAAGCATCCTCATGTTCAAAAATGGGGATCAAGAATTGGAACAAGAACTGGCATTCTTCATCGGAGGGCAGTACGTTTGAAAGACTAATCCCATGTCCTCATTGAAATGACCCGAGACGGCATGACTTGGTGCCACAATAGTTTTCGACACACAGGAGACGGGCAATTGCGTCCCCCGTACTCACACATGCTCACCTGAATTTTTGATGACCTAGGTAGAACAGTCTCGGTTCCTGTATTACTTGGCTTGCTTATTACGTGTCTGTTTTGTTTGGTTCTCCCTTCGCTACCATCCAGATGGTATCTAGCAAAGCAAATTGTATTTGTTTGTTTGTTTGTTATATTTAACGCCGTGGCGGCAAGGGCGCAGCCGCCCTTGCGGCCGACCTCCCGAAGGGTACAAAGCAAATTGTAGACGTAGTGAGGGGATCTTTCTTCTGGGATTCGAAACGATTATGTTTAGGTTCGAATTGGGATTTAAATTAGCTGACTTCAGTGACCTTCCTCTGCGATCATGACTCAAACCTACTATGTTGATAAAAGAATTCATGTCGTTTGTACTGAGCGGTTTGTCTTTCGATCCTGTCCGCCGTCTGACACAGCAGCGACCCGATGGGACGTTTTCGCGATTTCATGAGACTTCACAGCCAGACTCCATTGAGACAAATCGGCTGTGAAACAGGACACACTCATACGCATTCACATAGATGGACATCTAGACTCTCACGAGAATGAGACAACGGCTCAAAGTATTAGCTTTGGGTGGAGTTGGATGCCTCCACCAAGACGTCGTGAGACAGTAATGTAGCGAAGAATGAGGAGCACGTCCAATGCTTCAGACTCTCGCAATGGACGTCAACGACCGATCTTGAATTTGACCGCGAAGTGAGACGATGATCCCAGCTTCCGAAGTACTTACTGCGTTGTGCTCTGACTTCTAGCCTGGGTACTCTGCCTCATTGTATCCGAGCACCTAATGGACCGAGCAAGTCAGCCGCCAAGACAAATCCCTTGACAGGCCAAATGTGACTGTCAGCAAAGGCTTGTCAGCAATCCTCAGCACGCCAATGCTTACATACGTACTCCTCGGACGTGTACGGCAGATTCCGTATAACTCTCATGTTTAAATGATCTTCCGGGCCGAAATGTCAGAGAGCTATCACACCACCTCTGTCAGAGCCCTCCCGGATAGGGGCTAGTCAGAGGTAGTAAGGAGTCCAAGCAACAAAGGAGCAGCTCAGATATATATACAGCGCAGGGAGTACACGTCGAGGGAGGAGTAGATTTCAGTAATTCATCATTCTACCCCTAACTGCAGTTGGCCTCTGAGAGCTTCCACCCTGTGTCAACATCCCAACTTGACAACTCCCTCTTCGCTCGTATAATAACCTCATCGCAGCGGCCATCCACGACATCGAGTACGCCTAGCAAAGAGGCCTGGTTACCTCTATGCTTACGCTCGATATAAAAAAGGCTTTCGATACCGTACTCCCAGGACGACTAGTCCGACGCCTCCGTAAACAAAGATAGCCAGAGAACCTCGTACGCTAGGTCTCAAGTTTTGTTACCGGAAGGAGAGTAAAAATAAGGCTTAATAGGGAGGTAAGAAACGTCTTCGGTCTCGAATACGGACTACTATGTCAGAGCCCTCCCGGATAGGGGCTAGTAAGAGGTAGTAAGGAGTCCAAGCAACAAAGGAACAGCTCAGATATATATACAGCGCAGGGAGTACACGTCGAGGGAGGAGCAGACTTCAGTAATTCATCATTCTACCCCTAACTGCAGTTGGCCTCTGAGAGCTTCCACCCTGCGTCAACATCCCAACTTGACATACTATAAGGCTTACCCGTATCTCCTATTCTATTTATACTCTATATTAAACCTCTTTTCAAGCTAGGCACAGCTAGCCCAGGAAGGAAGCAATCTCGTTTCGGCTACGCCAATAACGTCGCTATCTTATTAAGCTTAATATTATTAAAGAATAACTATAACATCCTAACTAAGGAATAGAAAGAAACCTTAGGATAGGGCGCGACGGAAGGAATCATTTTTAACCTCGATAAGTCCGAACTAATTGTTACGAGCAGGACAAGGCAACCAACTGTGGCACAAAGCAAAAGCTTCGATAATGATGACTCCGGCATCATTGTCCCTTGTTCTGCATTATATAGCTACGCGCCCACAGTGACAAGTTGCGGCGGGCGTAACACTAATCCACTTCACTAAGAGATAAAAAGACGGAAACCCATCAATCACAGTAAGTTTACTAGATAGGAGGTATTATATAGTTTAGGCTATTAAAGAAGGCTCTTCTCTATACTAGCTCGGCGTTTACTTCGACCGTAAACTTATATTTAAGAATTATGTAAAAAACCTCTCTGCGAAGGCATAATAAGTAATTAATAGACTACGGGGACTAAAGAACACTTTCTAGGGCGCGTCTACGTACTTACTTCGTTAAGCGATCACCTCTTATATACTACCTATTTAGTATTATATATCTAAAGTATAGTAGCCCGGTAAGAGTGTTACGGCCAGCTAGTCCTAGTGAGGTATGTTTGCAGAAGTTGAGGCTGCGGAACTGGTAACAGTATTCGTAGTAGGGGATAGCTTCAGGGAAGCTATGTCTGTAAGTCGTAAGGTAAGGGAAGGCTGCGGTGATGAATCGTAGTCTTATCAAAGAGGTTCTCAGGGAAGATAGCTGAAAGCGATCATAAGATCTGATACGAAGTTAATTGCTGAAGAGCTATGGAAAGTCTGTCCTAGAGTCCGGCTCGAGTCCATCCTATATACAAGTCCTGGTCCTGAACATATCCCTTGTCAATGATCAGTTCCTCTGATCGGGTGAGCGCTCATTGTTTGGCATGATGATGATGATGATGATGATGTATTTAACGTCTGGTAACAAAAGGACGTGCCGATTTGTTTGGCATGGTCGCTCATGGCTTATCTTATCATCACGTGACCTGTACCATAGTTCTTCCGTTCCGTGAGAGGGTGCCTAGTGTCCCTTGTCTCCTGCATATGTGGTGTGTTGTAACCGCCGCGAGCCTGCGGGGCAGGCCCTGTTCTTGGTCATGCATGTTGGGTCGTAACAAAGTGCTGGATAAAAAATGGACGTACTATCTTAAACGGGGTTAGTAGTCTACTATACTAACTAGACGCGATGCAAACCAAAGCTATTAGAGCGATAATCCCCGTATATAAAACGACGCCTATACCGATCTTATAGCGCGAGGTGGCTCTACCCCCAGTAGAGGTGATATGACAGAATTCGGAATTGTACCGTTGCGCCATATACAAAAGAGAGATCCCTCTACTGCATTTAGGTAGTTGTGGGTACATATAGTTTCCGTCATGATACTAGACGCGAAGCTCTATACAGCGTCCACTAGAATCCATCGTCTGGACGAGCGACACCCTCTCCGAACGAGACTTAGGGACAAATCAGGACCAGACTCACGGCTACGACGAATAGCAAGCCTCGTAAGTAAAAATACCGAATATATCGATCCGTTAGAACTCCCCCCTTGGGAGTAACTAGCGGACTAGCAGACAGCCCTGACAGTCATTGTTTGCGTCGACAGCCTGCCGACGATTAAATTTGTATGGGAGAAATTTCGGCGCTAGCAGGTCATGGGGGTTGCGACGATTAGGATCAACGTCTGCCGACGATTAGCGGTCTGGGCGCTACACGTGTCGCGGCGAGTTCAAAACAGGTAAGCTTATCAAAGGATCAACTACGAGCCGATTGATATCAACAGTAATACGTTTATATGTAAGTACGGTCGCTTTGAAGCCAGTCTGCTTTTCGGTCGGTTTTTTGATGGTCGTTGAAAGACAGGGTATGTAAGCACGGACCATCTCGTCACAGCCAACCAGGTCGCATTCTTGACTTACAAAGTTTGACAGTAGCCGTAGCAACATGTCTCGATTAACGGCATTTAACTTGATCTGTTGTCAAAGGATAAAGAGGGTGAAAGTAAGTACTGCGACTATAGGATAGATGGCTAGCTTAGAAGATTCAAGTACGGCATTTCCAATTTTGAGTGTGTTTACAATGGACTACTTTGTGTACGAACCAGAACTACGGCTTCTCTGCTGCCGTACATGCCAGACCGCGGTTACACGGAAACAAATTAAGGTACATCTTCGTAACAGTCCGCACACTCTCAGCGGTCAGGAGATCAGAGAGATAGAAGCGTGGGCGTTAGGTCATATCATCTTCCGTAATCAGCAAGAGGTCCACGACGGTCTACCATCCAGGCCAGACGACGCACCGGCCATCGCAGCGTTAGGTCCGCCAGGTATAGGTGGTTTCCGGTGCGAGTTCGTTGTCGAAGATAGTACGTTACCGCCCGACTGTCGATACGTAGGTAGAGACCGGCGGCGGATCCGAGAACATCTCAGGGTCAAGCATGGCTGGGACTTGGGACTCAAGGGTGGACGTCGCTCTACTACCACGGCGGAGGAGGAACGAAGTATCAGTCCGTGGAGGACGGGCGTCCATCACCAGCGACTATTCACAAGCGGACTCGGGAGCGAGCTGTTCGAGGTGGCAAGGGGGCTACGTCTTGAACAAGCAAGGGTGCAAGAGGACGAGCCCCACGTCCGACTCCAGCGGGCCATCGAGGCGTTCTAGAACAAGGGCGACGATATCCGAAGTCGAGAGGCGGAGCGCATCGACAAAGAGGACGACGTTAACGCGCCCAACCCGTGGCTTCGTCGGCTCGGTTCCGCTCTTCACTTAAAGGCGTTCAGCAGGAGAAAGGATTTCTTGAGGGACTTGATCGCCATGGAATACGACGTCGACCCCGACGACCCAGACAAGTCCGACGACGCCTAACTGCGGTTCGTGCATATGGTATTCGATCGGCTGGTCGACCACGCCAAGGCCGTTATCACCCCCAGCGTGGTCACTTGGAATGCTCTGTTCGAAGTGAACCGTACCGAGCTGTCGAAAGAGAGGACGAAGCCGTTCTACTTCCGGTTTAAGCCCGAAACACAGAGGAGGTACGGACTCGTAGTTAAGTAGCTGCTCGCTTACTTCGTACGCTGCATGTCTCTCGATAACGAGGCGGATCGACCACTATTCAAGCTTAGTACGAGGCAGTAGACTGCGTATAATGCCGTGATGGACTATATAGACGATCTGGCCGAGGCTTGGAACGAGGGCGGCCGTGACCCGGACGTACCCGGTATCGCCGGGCTTCTCGACGGGCTCGAGACGGCCGTTCTCGAGTTATATATCTCCGTTCTCGACTACTTTACTAAGGACTCCGAGTACGATAGCGTTCTCGTTAGCTTCTTAACCGTTCTTAGCATACGGGCGGACGGGGCGTAGGAAGGGTACGGTAGGTTCACGCCGAAGCTCTCCGCTATTATGGCGATCTCCCGGCTCTATATCATTAAATATACGGTGGACCAGCGAGCTAAGGCGGTAAACAAAAGATACGGCAAGGCCAAAGCTAGGAGGAGGCCGAAGATAATAACCCGAGCCATTTTACACTTATATCGGATATAACCCGGCGGTTCATAGTCGGCGGGGGTAAGGGCTAGGAGACGACGCCGACGTAGTTCATTATCCGGCTCCATAACTTCGGTATAACTATATAAAATAATACGGCTATATACGGCTCGGTATGCTAGGATAGAATAAGGAGGAGCTTTATTATAAAGGTACCCGTCTCGGCGTTCTTGATATTTAGGCGATGATGCGAGTCGGGGTCCGGTAGCTAGAGACGGTGCTCTATAAGGACTTGCTGTTCTTCGGCGCGTTCTCCGAACAGTCGGCGGCCGAACTGGGGCTGCCGGCGATCCCGTGGGCCGAGCTCTTAGATAACGCGGCGGACGAAACGGTCGGGCGCTCGCTCGTCGACCAGTCTTCAACGCGACGGGGCGTCAGCGGATGGGTGATCAGAAGATCGTACAGGACGACGGCTTACGGTCCCGGTGGGTCACGTCCACGAACGACGGCGGCTTGACGCTGCACCCCATGCCGGCATATCGATACGGGCTCCGGGTCGAGAAGGCGCTGGAGCTTCTGGCGGTTCTCGTGCACATCAGCAGCGGGTTCCCGTTCGGGCGTGGGAGCTTCTCGTGGTCGGCACCGGAACACGTGCAACGAGGCATACGCAACATCTTTGCGACCGAGGACTCGTCATGGTCGTGACGGGGGCGCACAAAGGCTTCACCACGACAGGGCGACTCAAGATCATCCACCGCTTCTTGCCGCGCGAGGTCGGGACTCTGCTGACGTATTATCTGTGGCTCGTACTGCCATTCTAGGAGGACGTCCAGGCCAACGTATGGACCGGTCCCGGTTCGACGCGGGGTTGTGGCGACGGAAGGCACACAGGGGGACGAGACGCAGCAGGGGGGCGGACGGACGGTTCAGGACGGAGCAGGCGGGGACGACGACGACGACGACGACAACGACGGGTGGAGGCTAGGCCCCGGAGAACATTGGACGTCACCGCGCTTGTCACGCAGCATCGGGCGGCTCAGCGCGTTGGCTTTTGGGCAGAAGCTGAACATCAGCAGCTGGCGGCATATCTCGACGGCCATCGGGCGGCGGTACTTCCGCAACGCGTCGACGGCGCACACCAAGCTGCTCTGCGAAGTCGACTCCGACCACAGCGGTAGCGAGAGCGACGACGACGACGAGGACAGCCGTACGACTTACAAGCGGGCCACGGGTCCAAGGTGGCGGGGTTGATCTACGGACGGCTGGTGACTGAAGGCGGGTTCGAGACGAACGAACGTCGGGTCCGCTTCCGCCAGATCAGCGAAGAATGGCACCGACTGTTGGGTTTCCCGTCCGCACTGGGGGGCTTCGGCTTGGCTCTTACGCCCGGCCGTAAGCGAAAGACGGCGTCGATGTATGACGAAGCGCTCCGGGCGCTGCAGCTGGCGAGGTGGAAGCTGCGGCGGCGGATCGATATCGACGGTGAGCTCGTCCGCTTGTACGGGGCGGACGCCCGGTTCCGAGGCGCCCAGTAGTCAGCGATCTAGGCGATCATGGCGAATAAGAGCCCGATCGTGGTGGTGATGGGGACGGGGGGCGGGAAGAGCTTGAGCTTTATACTGCCGGCGGCAAGCTACCCCGGGGGCGTAACGGTCGTCGTCGTGCCGCTCGTATCGCTCTAAGGTGACTTGATAGAACGCTGCCGGCAGATGAAAATCCCGTGTGCGGAGTAGCGCAACGACGGGTCCCCCGGGGCGGCATCGCTCGTATTCGTAACGCCCGAGTTGGCTATAACGAAGCGGTTCCAGGACTACGTAGAAGGGCTCTGGGTGATGGCGCAGCTCGACGGGTTCGTATTCGACGAAGCGCATACCATCTTAGAGGGTATACGGGACTTCCGGCCGAAGCTACGCGAGCTGGGCCGGCTCGCACTCGTCGGGGTTCAGATAATATATTTAACGGCGACGTTACCGCCGCGCCAGGAGGCGGCGTTCTCGGAGCTTATCAACGCACGGCGCGAGGAGATTACGACGATCAGGGCCAGGACGATACAGGCCAACATCGCATATAGCGTAGAAACCGTCACGGCGACGACGGCGGAGGACGCTACGCAGGGGATAATACAACGGGTTTGCGCGCTACTCGAAGAGAAGCTCGAGATATACGGCGCGCCGGCCAAGATAATCGTATACTACAGGACGGTAGTAGCGACGGACGCTCTCGCCACGGAGCTAAACTACGACGCATACCACCGCGACGTCAACACACAAGACGGAAAGGCGGAGAGGCTGCGGGCTTGGACGAGCGGACTCGAGCGGGCACGATACGGAGGGGGGCGGGTGATCGTGGCGACGAACGCACTGGGGCTCGGGATAGACGTGCCCGATATCCGGGTAGTGATACACGTCGAGATACCGTTCGAGATAGCGGACTATACGCAGCAGAGCGGGCGGGCCGGGCGCGATAGCGAAGCTAGCGAGGCAATCGTCGTACGGGTAGTAGAGGCGGCGGCGGAAGGGGGGCCGGGGCGAGCAAGACGGTGGACGGGGTCCGGGGTACGTAGCCCAGCCGAGGATTTCGTTAGCGGCGGCGTATGCCGGAGGGTGGTTTTGGATTCGGAGATAGACGGGCGCGGCGACCGGGACAGGTACGAGGAGGGCGAGGCGCGGTGCAACGTATACAAGCGGCGGACGACATAGAGGAGGCGGAGGCGAAGACGGACGACCCGGAGGCGGGCAAAGACGAGGAAGAGGCGGATATACAAAAGCACGAGATCAGCATCCGATAGGTCCGAAGCTGGGTAGCGGATAAGGCGATACGGGAGGCCGAGGAGGTAGAAAGGTTCGGAGAGTAGCTTGAGGCGCGGCTCTTTAGAGGGTATATATTCTGCTACGGGGCTAATAGGGCGGACGCTACGCCGGACTATATAGAGCTCGACTACGGCAGGTCCCGGATAGGGGACGTATTAACATAAAAGACGTTTAATATAGGGCTCCGGATATATACATACTTCCGGAGGGTAAGGGGGGTAGAGAGGTTCGGCGGGTGCTACGACTGCTTTCTCCTATAAGAACTATATACCCGATAGGAGGAAAAGGCGGGCGAGGGCGGGTAGCAGAGGAGAGAGGGTTAGCCGAGCTGGAGAGGAGCGGGATCGCCAGCAGCCAGGCCAGCGGGTTCCGCAGCGAGCAGGACAGCGACGACGACGACGACGACGCGGGCGAGGCCAGCGCCGACGACGACGGGGCGGGGGACGAGGGCAGCCGTCGCGGGAACGGGAACGAGAACGAGACGCTCGACCGGGCCATCTTCTGCTTCATGGTGGCCTCGATCAAGACCCGGGTCGGCGGGCACGTATACGCAAGCTCGCTGCTGTGCTTTTGTGCAGCGCTAGGGATCCGATCTCGTCCGCTCGGGTATACCGAGCCGCACTTGTATACGGGCATGCTGGCAGCCATCTTGTGGTGGTGCCGGCTCTTCTTCTTGGAGGCGGCGTTCGAGGACCAGCCACGGGACCAGGACGAGGTCGGGGTTCCGGCAGTCCTTGCGTTCCGGGACCAACATGCCGCTTGGATGTGTGTGGGCGCGCACACAGTCGCCAGCACCATCATCGGATGGATGGCGCTCGGGAAAGGCTGGCGGATGCGGATGGGCGGGCAGCCATCGGTACGTTGGGCGGATGACGGCGAGTCGCTGTTCCATAACGGCGAGCGCATCGTCGTCCGGGACTTCACGCGGGCGCTCCGGGACCAGGTCGTCGACGCACGGAAGCTGCTCGGCGCACTGTGCGGGGGGGACTGGGAGCTGGTCAAGACGCGCATCAAGCTGGGACGGCTCGTCGATAGCATGGTGCGGCTCGGGGCTGGCCAGTCATTCGCAACGAAGGCGGAGAACGACTGGCTGGAGCCCGGACCGGCGGTGGTGATGAGGCAGCTCGGGGCGTCGATATGGGACCCGAGAAAGCAACAGGTCAAGCGAGAGGGGGTTCGGCAGTGGCTGCGACGGCTGAAGATGTTCCGGGAGGTGCTGATGGTGCTCGTCCACGCATGGGGCGGGCTGCCCGGCCAAGGGCCCGAGGTGGCGACGCTGCGGCACTGCGACTCGTGGCAGCTCATCCGCAACATCTTCGTGCTCGACGGGCAGGTGATGATCGTGACGGACCGACATAAGATGAAGGCGATCCGGGACAACTCGCGCAAGGTGGCCCAGTTCGTCCCCGACGTAATCGGGCAGATAGTGATAGCATACATCGCGTAGATCATCCCGGCGGAGCGGGCGCTCCGGCGCAAGGCCCAACTGGCCGAACCGCGCGGGGAGCAGCTAGAGTTCATGTGGCGAGACGGCAGCTCGCGGGTATGGGATACTGAGCAGCTCAGCCGGACGATGGCGCGCGTGATGCAGGCGGCGACGGGCGTACGGCTCGGCGTAGGACGATACCGGGCCGTAGCTATCGAGATAGGTCGTCGAATACGGGGACTCGCGCTGAAACAGATCGAGAGCCGGCTAGACAACGACGACGACGGGGCGAACGACGACGTCGAGGTCGATCCCGTCACCGGCGAGCCGGTATACTGCGGAGGAAGCTGGAATATCGTATAGGATCTGGCGTCGACTCACGGGAGCCGGGTTACGCGACAATATTATACCGTATATATCGGGTTCCTAAGAAAGCTATAGCCGGAGATAATCGCGACGTTTAAGGAGATTAGCCGGTTATGGTATCGGTTTCTAGACGGGGAGGCGACCGGGGACGGTAAGCAGAAACGGGCCGGCGAGGCGGCGGAGCACGGCACGCGACAGCAGGCAGGACTCGGCCGCTCTAAGCGTATACAGGGCGAGGCCGCCGTAGAGGACGCGGAAGAGGCAATAGCGGCGGGGTTGCGTAGGCTACTCGGGCCCGGGGCGACATAGCGCAGTAGCAAGCAGGCCGAGAGCATGCGCGCGATCATAGCACTAGAGGGTAGCCAGTCCGTCGTAAGCGTACTGCCGACAGGGGCCGGCAAGAGCATACTATTCATACTACCGGCCGTCATAGCGAACGGCGGGACCAATATCGTGGTTATGCCATTCGTGGCGCTAATAGAGGATCTGGTCACACGCGCCGTATCTATAGGCGTAGACTACATCCGTTTCCGATCGTCAGCGCACGCCGGACGGGAAGGGCTACCGCGGGCCGCCCGGCTAATGGTCGTCAGCGCGGACGTCATCAGCACGGGGGAGTTTTCCGCATATACCGACGGACTACTATATACCGGCTTACTCCGACGGATATTCATCGACGAGTACCACACCGTTATCACGGATATCGGTTTCAGGGCTCGGCTGGGAGAGCTCCGAAGCTTACACCGCTACAGCTGCCCGTTAATACTCTTAACTACGACGATGCCGGAGGTGCTCGAGGACTGGTTCCGGGAGCAGATGCTAGTGGAGGCGGCAACGATGGTGCGGGATCGGACGACGAAGGTGAATTGCCGGTACCGGGTGGAGCAAGTCACGGCCGGGGGCGGGGCGGTGGAGCGGCAGGTGGCGGAGACGGCCAAGCGGCTAGAGGCCACGATGTCCGGGGGGGAGAAGGGCGTGATCTACTGCCGATCGAGGCGCCAATGCGTCGTCATAGCCGACGAGGTCGGCTGCGGCTTCCACCACAGCGGCATGAGCGAGGAAGAATGCCACGGGGTGCGGGCAGGGTGGGCCGGGGGTGGGGGACAGCGATGGATCACGGCCACGTCGGGCTTGGGGACAGGGGTGGACATCCAGGGCATCGTGGCAGTGATCCACGCGGAACAGCCGTACGGGCTCGTGGACTTTGTGCAGCAGACAGGGCGAGGGGGACGGCGGGCAGGGGAGGTAGTAGAGTCGGTCATCGTGCACGACGGACGGCCGAGCCGGCCCGACCCGCACGGCAGCTCCGTAGACGAACGTAACCGGGCCGAGATGGAGGCGTTCGTGTCGACGGCAGGGTGTCGACGGACGGTCGTCAGTGCGTTTATGGACGGGGTTGCCGGCGAATCGTGCAAGGACATAGCGGGCGCGGAGCTTTGTGACCGATGCGAGGAGCAGGCGCGGACCGCTGCCCGGTGGAGCAACTTTGGGAAGGGGGAAGGGCGACGGGTCCGGACGCTGTTCCGCTGGCTGGACGAGGTTACGGATAAGTGCGCAGTATATTATATCCGGCGCCACCACGCAAGAACCGAGAGGGAGGGGACGCCAGACAAGCCACGGTACACGCACCGGGACGAATAGTGTAATAAAGTATCCGGCGAGGGCTACGCAGTAGTACGGAAAAAGATAACGTTCGGGCCGCTATCGTACTACTTTACGTATAAGCTGCCGCTTAACTAGTGCGAGGAGAGGAGGGAAGGCGAGGCGGACGAGGAAGGGCGCTATAAAGATATTAACAAGGTATTGCCGGTAGTTCTGATAGGGCTAAAGAGCGGGAGGGTTCGGGAACTGGCGAAGAGGGAGTTTAGGGTTAATAGTGGCGACCGGGAGGGCTTTTTCCGGTAGCTCGGAGGACGGCGGCGGTTCCACGGGT